ACCATAAAATTATTTTAGTTGCTACTTCATAACTGTAATTCTGCTACTGTTATGAATTGTCATGTAAATATCTGATACGCAGGATGTATTTTCATTTACTGGACCAAATTTGGCACAAATGCCTGATAAGCCCAAATTTGAATACTGGTGATACAGAGTTCCTCATGTTGTGGTAAACCCCAACCATAACATTATTTTTATTGCTACTTCACAACCGTCATTTTGCTACTGTTATGAATTGTCATGTAAATATCTAATACACAGGATGTATTTTCATTCATTGGACCAAATTTGGCACAAATGCCCAATACACCCAAATTTGAATTGATTTTGTCATTTGGGAGTTGAAGTTACTGGAATTTATAGTTCACCTACAATCAAAGAACATTCTGAACTCCATCAACGCTGGTATTGATCAAACTTGGTGCACAGAACTCCCCTGACCAACAGAAAATGTCGGAAAGGTTTGGCGGGCATTGATCTTCAGTTTTGGAGTTGCAGTTTATCTACACCCACAGACCACCGTGGACTCAAACAATGATGGATCTGGGCCAAACTTGGCATGGATACTCAATATGCCCAAATGTGCGCACTGGGGGAGTTTGGGAAAAAAGACCTTGACATTTGGGAGTTGTGATTGCTGGGATTTGTAGTTCACCTACAATCAAAGAGTATTCTGAACCCCACAAATGATACAATTGGGCCAAACTTCCCACACAGAACTCTCATAACAAACAGAAAATACTGTGTTTTCTGATTGTCACAGTCCTCTCTGGAGGTAGGTGAACTACAACTCCAAAGCTCGAGGTCAATGCCCACCAAACCTTTCCACTATTTTCTGTTAGTCATGGGAGAACTGTGTGCCAAGTTTGGTTCAATTCCATCATTGGTGGGGTTCAGAATGCTCTTTGATTGTAGGTGAACTATAAATCCCAGCAACTACAAATCCCAAATGACAAGGTCATTTGAGTGAAGGACACACATTGGGTTGTTAGGTGTCTTGTGTCCAAATTTGGTGTCAATTCGTCCAGTGGTTCTTGAGTTCTGTTAATCCCACAAACGAACATTACATTTTTATTTATATAGATTTTTCATTGCCATGCCTGAACCCTAAGAAAGATGGAGGACTGACTGAACCTGGAAGTAGATAACATGAATACAAACCTGCAAGATGGTATTGCACACCCATTGCCTTACAAATAGTCATGGGGCGCCTATCCATTCCTAGCCTTTGTGCCACCAAGACGTCCCATTGGGGACAAAAACGCTGCATTTCCAGCCCCGGAAGGGCATCTCCATGTGTGAATAAGAACACACACACACAAATACTCACATATTGCCCTCCATTCTCCTTTTGCAGAAAGTCATCTGCCCTCCTCCTCTTGTCCGAGGAGCAGCGCCTGACCCGATGACCCTTGAGGAATTTTGCCATTCAGCAAAGAAGGGAAGAGAATGGAAGGGGACCGGACAGCCCCCCAGGCCTGGCTTCTTTTCTTGCTAGTATAATGAATGCCCCTCCCCAAAAAAGTCAAACGCTTCAGGCAAAAGTGCAATGCCTGATTTTTGGCTCCTTTTGTGGTCTACATTGCTGAACCAGTGCTATGAGTCCCACTTTTTGGGAAATATGGAATGGATTGATTGATCCATTGATTGGATGTTTTGGGGTACTCAAAGCAACAAGGGTCTCCTCTTTGGCCATTTAGTTTTGGAGGGTGTTTGGGAAATTGAGGTCTCCAAAACAGCTTTGTTGACAGCCGTATATCGTCCCTCCAACCTCTATTAAAACTCCATAGAATGAATGCACTTTAATCGCCGATACATCCCACAATCCTAGACATTTGGGAAATGTCCGACGTATGATCCAATACAACAGCCAGCAGAGTGGACTCATCTTGTTGTATTGTCGAAGGCTTTCATGGCCGGAATCACTGGGCTGCTGTAGGTTTTTCGGGCTGTATGGCCATGTTCTAGAAGCATTCTCTCCTGACGTGTCGCCTGCATCTATGGCACACATCCTCAGAGGTTGTGAGGTCCTCACAACCTCTGAGGATGCTTGCCATAGATGCAGGCAAAACGTCAGGAGAGAATGCTTCTAGAAAATGGCCATACAGCCCGAAAAACCTACAACAACCCACTTTAATCCTACTTTAGCTGCCACGGAGATAGTTCCAAAGTGTGGTATCAGCCACCCAAGATGCATCTACACCAGTGTATCTCAACCTTCCTAATGCCGCGACCCCTTAACATAGTTCCTCATGTTGTGCTGACCGCCAAGCATAGAATTATTTTCGTTGCTACTTTGTAATAGTAATTTTGCTACTGTTATGAATCGTCATGTAAATATCTGCTATGCAGGATGTATTTTCATTCACTGGACCAAATTTGGCACAAATACCTAATACGGCCAAATTTGAATACTGGTAGGATAGAGGGGGATTGATTTTGTCATTTGGGAATTGTAGTTGCTGAGATTTATATTTAACCTACAATCAAAGAGCATTCTGAACTCCACCAATGATGAATCATAATATAAATCTCTGATACGCAGGATATATTTTCATTCACTGGACCAAATTTGGCACAAATACCCAATACATCCAAATTTGAATACTGCTGGGGTTGGGAGGGGACGCTTATTGATTTTATCATTTGAGAGTTGTAGTTGCTGAGATTTATATTTAACCTACAAACAAAGAGCATTCTGAACTCCACCAATGATAGAATTGAACCAAACTTGGCACAGAAAACTCCCATGACCAACAGAAAATGCTAGAAGGGTTTGGTGGGCATTAACCTTGAGTTTGAGAGTTGTAGTTCACCTACATCTGGAGAGCACGGTGGACTCAAACAATGATGGATCTGGACCACACTTGGCACAAATACTCAATATGCCCAAATGTGAACACTGGTGGAGTTTGGGGAAGATATACCTTGACATTTGGGAGTTGTAGTTGCTGGCATTTATAGTTCACCTACAATCAAAGAGCATCCGGAACTCCACCAACGATAGAATTGAACCAAACTTGGCACACAGAACTCCCACGACCAACAGAAAATACTGGAAGGGCTTGGTGGGCATTGAGCTTGAGTTTGGGAGTTGTAGTTCACCTACATCCAGAGACCACTGTGGACTCAAACAATTATGGATCTGGATCAAACTTGGCACAAATACTCAAATGTGAACACTGATGGAATCAGATCTTGGGATATAAGGACATTGTAGAAGGAGGCTAAGACTTCACCCACACTGTAGAATTAATGCAGTTTGATCCCACTTTCACTAAGGAATTGTGGAAGTTGAAGTCCAAAACACCTCTGAGGGACCAAGTTAGCGCATGCCTGATCTACACTGTAGAATTAATGCAGTTTGTTTCCACTTTCACTGCAATGACTCAGGTCCCTTCTAAACTGCTGCATAATCCATACTATCAAAGCAGATAATCCACATTATATGCTTTGAACTAGATTATATGAGTCTACACTGCCATATAATCCAGTTCAAAGCAGATAATCCGGATTTTATATGGCAGTGTAGAAGAAGCCTCGACGCCATGGAATCATAGGAGTTGGAATTTTGCAAGGTCTTTAAGCCTTCTCTACCCAAGAGTCCTGGTACCTCACCAAACTACAACTTCCAGGATGCCATTGCCTTGAGCCGTAGCAATTAAAGTCGTGTCAATGTGCATTAATTCCACAGTGGAGATGTGTTCCTTCTTCCACAAGGAACACTCCAAAGCAGGGTTGCCCATCCTGACCCTCCTTTGCCCCGAAGACGGCAGCAATTCCAGATTTTCCCAGATCAAAATCAGAATGGTTCCCTCCCCATTCTCCTAAAGAGTAACTTTTGAGCCCAGGCAATGTCTGACAACCCTGAGGAGATTCAATGGGGCGTCTTGGAGCCTAGCAGCGGTGACCCCCAACGTGACCCCCAGCTTTCAGAGCCGCCATCTCCCTTCCCCGTCCCCCCACTTTCCTTTTCTCCCTTCCTTTCTTCCGTTGCATGCCCCCATTCTCAGGGTATTTACTCAACAGATGGCGAGTGCAGGAATGCAGAGGCCCTCCCTGTGTGTATATGTGTGTGTGTGTGTATAAACACACACTATAATTAGTATAACCACAATCCCCAGCTTTTCGGCAACACATGCACGCAGATGTCATGGGCGTCCATGCACCCTCGTTGCACATGCGCAGARGCGCAGAGCACCCAGATGGGGAAGATGTGAATTTGCCTTTCCTTCTGGCTTTGGATGCACGGAGGAAAGCCTTGTGAAGACTACAGGAAAAGGACCATGTAGGTCAGTCTTCCTCAACCTTCTTAATGTCACGACCCCTTAATACAATTCCTCATGTTGTGGTGACCCCCAACCATAACATTATTTTCATTGCTACTTCATAACTGTTATGAATCGTARTGTAAATATCTAATATGCAGGATGTATTTTCATTCACTGGACCAAATTTGGCACAAATACCAGATACACCCAGTTTTGTCATTTGGGAGTTGTAGTTGCTGGGATTTATAGTTCACCTACAATAAGAGAGCATTCTGAACTCCAACAGCAATGGAATTGAACCAAACTTGGCATGTACAACTCCCATGACCAACAGAAAATACTGGAAGGGTTTGGTGGGCATTGCCTTTGAGTTTTGGAGTTGTAGTTCACTGACCTCCAGAGAGCACTGTGGACTCAAACAATGATGGATGTGGACCACACTTGGCATGAATACTCAATATGCCCAAATGTGAACACTGGTGGAGTTTGGGGAAAATAGACATTGAGATTTGGGAGTTGTAGTTGCTGGGATTTATAGTTCACCAACAATCAAAGAGCATCCTGAACTCCACCAATGATGGAACTGAACCAAACTTGGCACACAAAACTCCCATGACCAACAGAAAATACTGGAAGGGTCCAGCCTCTGCTTAAAAGCCCCCAAAGAAGGAGCCTCCACATCTAAAGAACCTCCTTCTCCTCCTCCAAGACCATTTCTCTACTTACCTTGCTCACTGGAGTTATCTCCACTTTGCGATGCAATTCCGCCACTGGAGGGGCCCGGTGTTCCCGAATGCGTGGATCCTGTCTCATCGTGGTCCCGGATCCATGAGTTGTTCTATATGCCAAGAAAACCCAGACAAAAAAGCAGTTAGATAAGGAAGAGACTCCATAAAGGCCACGCTTTTGCTCCAACTCTTAAGTCAGTAGGACAGCCAACCCATTCCAGGTTTTAGTCTGGTTTCAACTTGAACTTTCAAGTTGAGAATAGGGTTCAGCACTTTTTAAAAGCTTGCACTAAAACCCCAAAACTGATTCATTGAGTCGCCGGTCACGGCTGATAAATGCGGTATACAAATAGCGTAAATAAATAAATAAATAAATAATTCAGTCTCCCTCTGACATGGAAACACCCAGCCACCAATGTTCAGGGCTAGCAGTTGACAGAAAGTGATGCCCATATTTTTATCATTGGCCTATCTCATGGATATTGAATTTCTATCTGTTAGGTGACTGTTGAAGGCTCAGGATGCTTCCAGACAGCACCAAAATGCAGGACAAAGAAGTGGGGCAAAATGTCGCAGGACCTGACAGCCAGTCCAAACACAGACCTGTCAATCCCGGTAAACGCTCCCCTGCCATCCTGACACCTTCCTTTGTAGCGCATTTTAGAAATCCGCAAAAGGGAAGGGGACATCTGCTGGAAGTTTACTCTTGTTTTTAATTGACTCTCCAAGATGTGCTGGACCTCATATGTGCTCATGTGAATATCTAAATGTACACACAAGCAGGTTTCTTCTTAAATCTCCTCACTCTTCTGTAAATTCAAGCTCTGTTTAATTTCATAAACATTAGAACAAAGTAATGGTTGCAGAGAGTTCTCATTGCAATTGCTTTCCATTTAGCTACCTGTGTGTCCGTGGCTCCATTTGTTTACAGCCCAGACCAGCTGTTTTGGGATTTTAAAATGTGGACTTGCATTGCAGCAGTCCACATCAGGATAGAAAAATAAAGTCACATGTTTTCCTTGACTGCATGGATATACAGTGATGCGGATATGTAAAATTTCCATCAAAAATCGGGTTTTAAGTGCACCTGTTTTCTGCTGTCCTGGAGACTAGAACTTGGAACAATGGCTTCAAACTACAGTAAAGGAGATTCCATTATTCTGACTGTGAGGGAGAGCTGTTCAGTTGTGGAACTCTGCCATGGAGTGTGGTGGAGGCTCCTTCTTTGGGGGCTTTTAAACAGAGGCTGGATGGCCATCTGTCGGGGATGCTTTGAATAAGATTTTCCTGCTTCTTGGCAGAATGGGGTTGGACTGGATGGCCCACGAAGTCTCTTCCAACCCTAGGATTCTAGGATTATTCACAGATTTGGTTTATACTTTATCTCTAGGAATCTCAAGATTCTCTGGGGCAAGACTGTGGTCAAACACCAGCAGAAGCTGACCACAGAACACTTCTCTAAGCATTTATAGGTCATCCAGTGGTGGAAGTTCACCCCTGACTTGTGCTGGAACAGCTAGAGATTTCCAGAGAGGTGATTTCTTGGGTTAATGTGCATTAATTTTAATTTAAAATATTTTTTTCAAGGCAGGGTATAAATCTATATAAATAAAAATGTAATGTTCGTTTGTGGGATTAACATAACTCAAAAAAACACTGAATGAATTGACACCAAATTTGGACACAAGACACCTATCAGGCCAACGAGTGACCATCACTCATAAAAAAACACTGAAAAACACAGCAGAAGAGACCTCAAAAGCCCCCCAAAAACATTACAATGCATGCTCAAAACCACATATATACACAAACACACATATATACACATGTACACAAATATATACACACACAAAACACACATACACAATCTGGGCCATAGCAACACGTGGCAGGGGATGACTAGTATGGTAAATAAATATATAAACAAAGTGGGGTTTTTCCTGTTTTTCCTCACTTTTGTAGGCCCCTCACGCCAGTGAATGTGGAGGGCCCAGCATAATAATAATAATAATAATAATAATAATAATAATAATAATAATAATAATAATAATATAATAATAATAATAATAATAATAATGTATTTATACCCCACCACCATCTCCCCAAGGGGACTCGGAGCAGCTTATATGAGGCCAAGCCCGACAACACATCAATAAAACAAAATACAATAAGCAAAAACAATACAATTAATATAACTCACATATAAACAATAACACGCAAGGATTTTTTAAAAACTAAAAAAACTAAACTAAGCATAGTTCTTTCCTTTCTTGAAAATCAGTAGAGACCATCCGTTTGGGGACTGGAAACAATCCTAGGGAACATCACTTTAAGCATTCCTATTGTGGGGCCCATCTACACTGCCATATAATCCAGTTTCTGAATCCAGATTCAGCAGAGATAACTCCAGTGAACAAGGTAAGTGGAGGAATGGCTTTGGAGGAGGAGGAGGAGGAGGAGGTTCTTGAGATGTAGAGCAGTGTTTCTCAACCTGGGGATCGGGACCCCTGCAGGTATCGTGAGGGGGTGTCAGGGGGGTCGTCAAAGACAATCAGAAAACACGGTATTTTCTGTTGATCATGGGGGTTCTGTGTGGGCAGTTTGGCCCAATTTTATTGTTGGTGGGGTTCAGAATGCTCTTTGATTGTAGGGGAACTATACATCCCAGTAACTACAACTCTTAAATGTCAAGGTCTATTTTCCCCAAACTCCACGCAGTGTTCACATTTGGACATATTGAGTATTTGTGCCAAGTTTGGTCCAGATCCATCATTGTTAGAGTCCACAGTGCTCTCTGGATGTAGGTGAACTACAACTCTAAAACTCAAGGTCAACCAAACCCTTCCGGTATTTTCTGTTGGTCATGGGAGTTCTGTGTGGCAGGTTTGGTTCATTTCCATTCTTGATGGAGTTCAGAATGCTCTTTGATGGTAGGGGAACTATAAATCCCAGCAACTACAACTCCGAGATGACAACATCAATCCCTACCCCAACCCCGCCAGTATTCAAACTTGGGTGTATTGGTTATTTGTGCCAAATTTGGTCCAGTGAATGAAAATACATCCTGCACATCAGATATTTACATAACAATTCATAACAGGAGCAAAATGACAGTTTTGAAGTAGCAACGAAAATAATTTTATGGTTGGGGGGGGGGGGGTCACCATAACATGAGGAACTGTATTAAAGGGTCGCGGCATTAGGAAGGCTGAGAAACCCTGATGTAGAGGCTCCTTCTTTGGAGGCTTTTAAACCGAGGCTGGATAGCCATCTGTTGGGAGTGTTGTGACTGCAATTTTCCTGCTTCTTGGCAAAATGGGGTTGGAGTAGATGCCCCGCGAGTTTGATTCTATGACATGATTCTATAACATGATTCTATGACATGTTTTTCAGATAGTAATCCAAATCTGTGCATATTTTCGCGAAACATCATTCAACCAGCACCACCACTTTTGCTCTTGTTTCTTCCGTCTTTTAGGACATGCGTAGAAAGACCCTTAGAAGGGTCTGGAGAACAAGCCCTATGAGGCAGTGGTTCTCAACCTTCCTAATGCCGCGACCCCTTATTACAGTTCCACATATTGTAGTGACCCCCAACCATAAAATTTTGTTGCTACTTCATAACTGTAATTTTGCTATTGTTATGGGTCGTAATGTAAATATCTGATATGCAGGGTGTATTTTCATTTACTGGACCAAACTGGGCACAAATACCCAATACGTTCAAATCTGAATACTGGTGGAGTTGGGGAGGGGGGTGATTGATTTTGTCATTTGGGAGTTGTAGTTGCTGGGAGTTATAGTTCACCTACAATCAAAGAGCATTCTGAACTCCACCAATTATGGAATTGAACCAAACTTGGCACACAGAACTCCCGTGACCAACAGAAAATACTGGAAGGATTTAGTGGGCATTGACCTTGAGTTTTGGAGTTGTAGTTCACCTACATCCAGAGATCAATGTGGATTCAAACAATGATAGATCAGGACCAAACTTGGCACGAATACTCAATATGCCCAAATGTGAACACTGGTGGAGTTTGGGGAAAACAGACCTTGACCTTTTGGAGTTGTAGTTACTGGGATGTATAGTTCACCTACAATCAAAGAGCATTCTGAACTCCACCAACAATAGAATTGGGCCAAACTTGGTACACAGAACTCCCATGACCAAAAGAAAATACTGTGTTTTCTGATGGTCTTTGGCGACCCCTCTGACACCCCCTCGCGACCCCCCCAGGGGTCCCGACCCCCAGGTTGAGAAACGCTGCTATGAGGAGTGGCTTAAGGAGCTGGGCATGTTTAGCCTGAAGAAGAGAAGGCTGAGAGGAGATATGATAGCCATGTATAAATATGTGAGAGGAAGCCACATGGAGGTGGGAGCAAGCTTGTTTTCTGCTGCCTTGGAGACTATGACGCGGAACAATGGCTTCAAACTACAAGAACGGAGATTCCGTCTGAACATGAGGAAGAACTTCCTGACTGTGAGAGCCGTTCAGTAGTGGAACTCTCTGCCCTGAGTGTGGTGGAGGATCCTTTTTTAAACAGAGGCTGGATGGCCATCTGTCAGGGGTGATTTGAATGCAATATTCCTGCTTCTTGGCAGGGGGTTGGACTACATGGCCCATGAGGTCTCTTCCAACTTTTTGATTCTATGATTCTATGATTCGCCCAGTTTGCCCACTAGTTTGTGTAGGAGTGGGTTTTGGCTCTCTGGCAGTTTCACCTATTGAATTTCCGCCTGTCGGGTGGCTAAACCGTTGGCTGAGGAGCCCATGACAGTCCTCTGCCCATCCACACTCCCGCAAATCCTTTAAGGAGGAGGCCTGGGGTTAGTGGGGATTTCCACCCTGCCTCTGCTGGGACTGTAATTATTTTGACCCGCTCCCCTGCCCTTGGCCCAACCGAAGGAGAGTTCAAAGGCCCAGCTACCGAAGGGGCTCAGGTTGCACCCGGCACCCGCCTTGGGACCAAAACAAAGCCCCCCCCCCCCCACTCCCTTCCTGCCTTGCCCTGCCCATGCCCTGCCTGATTAACCTGGCCGCCTTGATCAGAGGCGCCCCACAAGCGGGAGGCCTCGGGGTTCATGGGGTTAAGGAGCTGAGGATTT